AACTTTATATTTTATATATTTTTCTCATTTAATAGAGCAAAAAATTCATATGAAACAGGTGATATCTTTCCTCCAAAAAAAAGTGAAGTAATAGAAAATGGTAAACAGGTGGCAACCTTATTCATTATATAAAATATCTTTAAAAGAAATTAATAAATTGTAATATATAGTTTTTTTGTTATATGAATATTGCAGTGTCTATATATAAGTTTAGTTGACTAAAATTTTGAAATTTTCAATTTTTGGCAACCAACTAATTTACTTTTTTTTTCTAAATTATTTGTTGCTGTTTGTTCGGAACCATTTCAACAAATAATGTTACAGAATTTCTTTAGGGGCGAGGAATTTTCCTTATTAAGAGTTATTTCGAAAATAAATAAGTTAATAAAAAATGTATATTTTTAAAATCTTAAAAAGCATTCCTGTTATCCTCATACAACAACATCATCTTCAAAATGGCACTCTTATAAATAAAGTGTATTTACTCTGGAACGCGCCTTTTTACACCATTCACTCCATTTTGCCGCCTTTTTAAGGCCATTGTAAAATGTGTTCGTGTTTATGTGTCCCGAGAGATGCCCGAATCCAATAGCAATGATAAATGTTATATTTACGATTGTGCTTACGCTTTTTGAAGACACCACAGCTACATTCGCAACCACTGCCTATACATGAGTGTACTCATAAAACCGTAATATGCGTACATATGAGTACGTTGTGCGCTAACTGGCCAATCAAAATTAAACGTCTCCGTTTTGCTCAATAGCCAAAACGCACACACACCTAGCGGAGGGAGTAACACAAAAATACGGGTTTTGCCGAAATTTTCATACCAAAATCGTCATACGCAAATTTGTTGTGCCCGTGTGTGTGGGTGTGTGTGTCTACTTCCTCGTATCTATGTAAGTCTCGTATCGCCCTACAATGTTAGCTGCATTCCTATTGGTCAGCTAAACGTTTTCTGTTCAAATTGTATTTACATATGTATGTACATACTTGTATATTCACGGTTGAAGGATGCCGATCATTGCGCCGTGTCGTGCTCGTTTATATGGAGCTGTGTGTGTTTTGTTATTGTCAAATCTGTACACAAACGTGAATTTGGCACGCGATCGTGCGTCATTTTGCCGCGATTAAAACAAAATGAATGATCTTTCTGCGCGTTGATATGTACATACATACATATGTGTGTGTACAATACGTCAAATTGCTTGACATGCATCGGGGTGTGTGTGTGTGTGTGTGTGTTTGCGGCGCTTGAATGTTTATGAAATACATATATACATATGTCAACGCCGTCAGCAAATTTGTTAAGTATGTTATTAGATATTTGTTAGATAATGCGCGCAATCTGGCAATTATGTTCTGGTTTTGGTTCAAATTTGTCAAGATGCTTAACACTATAATGAAAGCTTACCGTTATTAAAAAATTATTTACTTTTTCTTCTTCATACACTAGCTAAAGTTGTCTGTGCTCTACTATTTTTCGGCTTAACTCTCTTCTCTTTCGCATTCTATGCGCTCCAAACTTTATAGTCTAAACTAAATGTGTGCTCTTGTGTAGACACTCTTCAATAAGTCGGACATATGTTTACGTATGTGTGTAGCTAACAATAACAGGTGTGTCTACATATTCTCATATTTTTGTTTGTACTTCTGTACACATACACATATGTATGCATGCTATGTTTGTTGAGCAGTGCATGCAACGAAAAGTTTACATTCGAAACCAGTACCCGTCGTGATTGCTGTTATTTAATTTATTCGTTCATTTCGGTCAATTAAACTAGTTGTGACGCCAAGTTATCAAGTGTTTTGGCCTCTCAACATATTTGACGAATAATTTAAATTTTTTTCTTTCAATACCATCGTCAACATTTGATTTGGAGCGTGAAATATCTTTAGCAATCTAACACTATTATAACATACAGTGTGTTGGCGAAGTATGTGTATGGAAATTTAGAGAAATGTTAGATTGTAGAACTGAATATATTTGTATGTATCTAAAATTTTTATTAATATCAATTTTTATACCCTGAACAGAGTATATTAAGTTTGCCACGAAGTTTGTAACACGCGGAAGGAAACGTCGGTGACCTTATAAAATATATGTACATATGTATATACATATGTAATGTAGTTGATTTACCCATGTCCGTCTGTTTATATATATACGAAAATTTACATGTCCGTTTCCTCCCAAAGAGCTGCTCATATGTCAAAATCGCCGTTATCAGACCACTATAGCATGTAGCTGTCATATAATCGGAACAATCAGAATCAAGTTCTTGTAAGGAAAATTTTGTATATATAATGGGTATTATAGCTTCGGTGCCATCGAAGTTAACTTTATTTCGTGTTTAAATTAATTTGTACACCTAGTGTGGCAGTCTAAAAAAGTCGATTTTTGAGAATTAAGAGAAGCTACTGTATCAATTGTTTTAAAATACATATTTTAAGAACACGCAATAAATTTTTTAAGTAAATAATTAAGTATTTAACAAGTTAGACGCAATTTCCGACGGCGCTAAAAAGCTGCAACAATTCCGACATTCTCCGTGAATGAATCTTAAAACAAAAATTCTTACTAGAAAATATTGTCAGTACATTGACGGCGGCGTTTAAAAAAAAAGTTGAATTTGACCCAAAATGTTGGTCATTTGGCCTTTCAAAAGTTGATAGTGAGCGCATAATTAGTCTCCGAGTAATCACTCAGGCAACTTTGAAGTATGTAGCTTTGAGAAAAACGCGTTTAAGAGCTCTTGAGTGTCTTCTAATTATAAAGCTGTAATTCAAAAACTATTACAGATATGGATTTAAAATTTTAGTATGTTATTTTTTAAAGTATAACCTATCGAAATGTAAAAAAATTAATTTTTTTTTAATAGGGTGCCTCTTAATATAGTTTGAATTATGATGAATTATTTTATTCTGAATTTTTCATTCATTTTGAGCAAAGATTTTGTCCTACTGATTTGGTTAAAACTATAAAAACGCATCACGTCGAAATGTCAACAATTTTATTATTATTATTTTTTTTTCTTTTTTTTACTTTTTTCATTTATTTATTTTTGTAATTAATATATTTTTTTATTTCAATTGTTTTTTTTTTTTATTATAAATTTATTTAATTTTTATATTTTTTACTATTGTTAATATTTTAATCATTTTCTGTTTCTAATTTATATTTTATATATTTAGTATTTTTTTATGCCCAAATTAGAACCAAGTAATTTTTAAATAATCTTTGTTTAATAACTTTGAGCCACGTAAAATAAATTTTACTATATTTTGTTGTCACTGATGTATAAGTGACCACTATACTCACACTTTTCATGCCCACTGTATGTAAATTTGTCTGTGTGTATTTACCATGTTAGCGGCAAGTGAGAAACAGCGTCGTTTTTATACTCTCGCAACATGCTGCTATAGAGCATAATAGTTTTGTTCACCTAACGGTTGTTTGTATCACCTAAAACTAATCGAGATTGATATGGGGTTATATATATATATATATATTTATCTATAATCGATCAGGATGTCAAGACGAGTTGAATTCTGAGTGACTATCAGTCCGATATCCCTGAAGATACATATATTGGAAATTGGTACAAAACTTGCCAAAAAAAGTAAAGACTAGTCCGTAGATGGGCATAATCGGACCACTGCCACGCCCACAAAACGCCATTAGTTTATTGTATGTATTTGCCAAACGAATAAAGCTATATTACCCAAATTTGCACACAACAAAATTTACAACCCTTATTACGATAATCTGAAAATAGGTACCCATATAATGGTTTTATTAAAAACTACTAAAAGTGCGATAAACCAATAACTAAATGCCGGAGGGCATTATAGGAGCTAGTGTCAAAATCGGACAATGGGCGTGGTGAAATCACATATCTCGGGACCTGATTGCTCTCAGATTCATATGTCACAGTGCCGAAAAATCGAACTACAACCATGTCTACTGCTCATATGACACAATTTTAAATTCCATCTGATTCTTTCACATTCCACAATAAAAACAAAGCACCAATGAATTTAACGAGATAAAACTTTGCACGAATAGTGCCTTTGAAGTGTCTCACCTTGTGACTAAAAATTGTCCGAATCGCACCAAAACTGTTGAAGCCCCTAGGTACCGAATATGTGAACACCAGTGCCCATAGTTGACTTTTTGCCGAATCGGTCAATGTGTGAGATATATAATTGAAATTCGGAGAGAATGCTTTCCTGATGATACTATGCCTAAGTGTCAAAAATGGGTTGAATAGGGTCAATATATCTGTTAGCCCCCATATACCTAATATAATGATTTTCGAACTTCCGTGTGACTTTATATCGCATATATCAGCCAATATATGAGTTATCACAACAAAAACGAGAGAGCGTATTGTCTTAGTAACAGTGTATTTTTGTGCTTAAAATAAGTCAAGTTGTGTGAAAACTTGCCCTAGCTCTCATATATCTAATCTTAGAATTTTCAAAGATTCGGTTTATTTTATTCTTTATGTGAATTTAGTCTATGAATTACCCCAACTCCCAAATACTACATATTATATATTGATTTTCGTTATTTTTTTCAAACCTTATGCCGCCGAACATGTTCAATGTGTGAGTTGTATATTTATAAAATTGCTTGAAAATATGATCTCAAGTATACCTCAGCAATGTCAACTTTAATAAAATTAAATGAAAAAGTTTTCTTAAAAATTGTGTGGGACTATGAATAAAATGGGCCTAGACATTGGTCCAAACCTTATATCCCTAAAATAATGAATTACGGTACTTTAGTTGACGTTTTCACATCAACTCATTTTTATTAAATTTAGCTTCTTCAGTTGAGTTTATACCCCATATATCGCATTTGAAGATGATTTTAATACAATTTTAGCTGACGGCAAGTAAAATATAGTACTAAAGCTAAGTGAGTCTATAACCTATAATATAACTTAATAAAGCACCAAATTTGATTGTCTCCCTTTACAATTTCATAGAATAATGAATGTTGAATTGTTTAATAACATTTTTTTTAAATCAAGTTTTCCCAACACCTGAAAGTGTTTTCCCTGCTTTGACCGTTGCAAGAGCATAAAATGTTCGGTTACACCCGAACTTAGCCCTTCCTTACTTGTTTTACATTGACTTTATCAGTGCGTTCACTTGCCTTGCCGCTGCTACTTGTATTTTTATAATTCAACGCCGCTCGCTGCTTGCCGCTTTATACAACTCAGCACACTAGTGATTTGTCCGCTTTGCGAGTTTACGAACGCGAAAGCTATCGGGCAGGTTCTGCTGGCTTTTCAGAAATTCACGATTTTCATTTCAGTTCATCGATCTCAACGTAAGCGATCGGACGCAGTACTTGCAAGCGGGCGAGATAACATCGAGTTACAATTAAATATGATATAAAATAATACAGCTAATTGTGGAATTGTGTGAAATTAGATTTGCAAAGTATTGTTGTGTGTAGTGAAAAAAAGACACTCGTCAGTGCTCGGTTTCAATAATTCGCAAATTCGCGCTCATTCGCCAACTAACTACGATACATACTTACACATACATATATAGACATTGTATATTGTTTTGACATCTATTTAAGAACTTTATCTTATCATCTTCGTATCATCGTGTAATGCTTATGCAGCGACTAACAGCAGCCTATCGTCGGTGGTCCGTCAGACTTGCCCTCGTCCTCATTCGTTGTGCTACGCTAGAAATCTAGCATTTGCTTGCTGAAATGAAATGATACAAGTATCGTGTTAAGAGAAAATTGACAGTTTTCAATCAAATTTCGCAAAAAGCCGTCGCAAAACTGTCACCGCCGACAGTCAAAATTGTGCTTAAAAAGCTGAAAAATCGTTGCGCCAAAAGTTCTTTCATAAATTGGAAACGTCGCAAAAGGAGGCGAACGGCCAACAGTAGCAGCGGCAGAGCAGGGTATTAATCAAAACATGCAAAAATACATACATACATATAGAAATATGCCTACATAATAAATGCTCATTTTGATTTGAATTGTGAGCCTCGTAACATATGTACATATGTGTGTGTATGTAATACCAACCAGAGATGGTGCTGACTTACATACAATATATGCATGCATACTTGCATACATAAATATCATAATGTGCGTGTGCTGGTGGTAGCCTTTTTATTGTTACTATTTAGTTTTGTTTACACTAACGCAGAAAAAGCGCCACAACAATAACATAATTTCTACAAAAACGCATTTGATCGGTATAAAATGCTCGGTATAGAATTAAATGCAAGCAATCGTTTGCGAAAATCGCGATCGCACAGAGTTACAATATCACTTTAAAGAATATAATGTGGGCAAGTGCATAAAGTGTACTGCGAAAATTTTTTGTGTGAAAAACAGTTTTGAAAAAATAATAACGAAAATGACAGTGGTTCTTTAACTGAAACAGTGTTGAAAAAAAACATATTGAACGTGAGCGCACAAAAAATGATATTTATTGAAATTTAGGTGAAAAGAAAAAATTTTATAAAAAAAAAATTAATTTATTAATTATTAGTTATTAAAGTTGTCAAACAGCATGAAAAAAAAAATATTCTAGTTTAAAAAAAAATAATATATTGTATTATATGCAAATAAAATAGAAAAATAAAATGTGCGTTTACCTAAACGAGCTTGTATAAAAAATGTTTGCAACCTGAAACATAAAATAATGAAATTAAAAATTTTGAATTTATAAAACATTTATAAAACAAACAACAAGTTTGTAAAAAAAATATAAGAAAGAAATGAAAAAATATATTTTTTTTATAAAAACAAAACCAATTATCGCCCATTCCCAATAGCTAAGAAAACCATTTCATTATAAAAAGTTCCATATTAAATTATATGCAAATAAATAAATACAAATAATATGAGTGGTTAAAATTATACGTACAAGTTTTTAAAAAATTATTGCAGCCAGATGTACAAAATAATTTTTAAAAAATTGTTGAATTTATAAAACAAAGTAGTAATTTATAAAACTAAAGGTTTTTTTTTTATAGTTAATCAAAAATAATTTTTATTTATAAAACAAAAAAAAATTAAATGCAAAAAAGAAAAAGAAAAAGAAATGAAAAATATTTTGTTTTCATTAAAATAATCAATTATCGCCCATTCCCAACAACTGAGCAAAGCATTCCATTCTAAATATTTACACAAGTTTTGCGCACAGGTGAAATTGTAATAAACAAGCGCTAAATTTTTGTACTAAAAAATGTCACTACATATATATGTACGTATATAAAAAATAATGTTTATAATGCGAGCGAAATTATAGTTGCATAACCACAGGTGTTTCCGGCTTGTATTTGAATATTATTTATACAATCCGACTCTATAAACCGTTTTCATTCTAAAAGTAAATAAATGTTTTAAGCCAGTTTCCGATTTCGTTCCGTTTAACGGTAAGCCAAGTGAAGGCAAAAAAAATATGTTTTATAAATAGAGCAAAATTCCTGTTTATATTTAGGCTCAGTAACAGCTTATTCTTATAGAAATACATGTGTATGTATATATGTATGTGTATGTACAGACGCTAAATAAAATGTAATTTACCTTCTGATCGTTGAATTCAAAATTTAAAAAAAAATATTAACTGACAACATACTTTCTCGTCGATTTTGAGTAACTTTTTATACCCTGAACAGGGTATATTAAGTTTGCCACGAAGTTTGTAACACCCAGAAGGAACCGTCGGAAACCGTATGAAATGTATACATAAATGATCAGCATGATGAGCTGAGTTGACTTAGCCATGTCCGTCTGTCTGTATATATACAAACTAGTCCCTCAGTTTTAAGCCATTGATCTGAAATTTTGCACCTATCTTTTTCTCACTAAGAAGCTGCTCATTTGTCGGAACGGCCGATATCGGACCACTATAGCATATAGTTGCCATACAAATTGAACAATCGGAATCAAGTAGTTGTATGAAAAACTCTTTAATTTGACGAGGTATCTTCAGGAAATTTGGCATGAATTATTATATAAGGCAATAATCCAATCTCCGAAGAAATTGTATAGATCGGATGACTGTAGCATATAATTCCCATATTAACTGAACGATCGGAATAAAGTGCTTACATGGAACATTTTTTTATTTGACGAGGTATCTTCACGAAATTAGGCACGAGTTATTGCTTAAGGCAACAAATTATTCTCCACAGAAATTGGTCAGATCAGATCACTATATCATATAGCTGCCATACAAACTAAACGATCGGAATCAAGTTCCTGTAGGGAGCCTTTGTATTTGTGATGGGTATTATAGCTTCGGTGCAAACGAAGTTAACGTTTTTTCTTGTTAAGATCTATGTATTTATGTACTTGTATATATATTAAGCCGGTTGCTTGGTGTCGGCTTGGTAATATTGAGCGGTAAACTATATTTTCTTAAATGTATTTTGATGTTATAGGAAAAGTGAATAAAAACGGTCGAATTTTTTTTGGGGTGCTAGCTTTCTCATTAGAAAAAAATCTTGAAAAATTGGTTTATTTTATAAATTTTGGAATATTATTGTATAAAATATGAAAACGGATACTTCAAAATTCAAATCTAAATATTGCGGGTTCTATATCTATAGAAATGGAGTTAAAAAACCTATAACTGATATTTATTAAATTTTCCTAAAATAGTTTTTTAGAAAATGTGTCCATTTCTACTCCATCTTGATTTTTATTACACTCAAGCTAAAAATGTCTTTAAACACACAATTTTTTACCTTAATTATTATATTTTATTGTCGGTACAAAGAGAGCAAATATATTTGAATCGAGTAGGTAAATGGCGTAAAAATATATTCCTTGACCCAAACATGATTTCTGACGATTGAGCTGGCTTAGTAAACCATTTTTTCAAAGTTTTGTTTTTGACTAAGGACTTTACAGGGTGGCTAGTTTAAATAGAGCTAAAAAAGAAACCCTTAAGTAGAAAAAATAACCTCGTAATTAAGATTTCTCATTACTTATTGCAAAAAGACCCGGCAAGCGATTTACAGATCAGCTAATAAATCAAAAGCTTGTTGGTTCCTTTTAAAAAATAATTTTATCAAACCACTTATCTTTATGCGCGCGACACTTTATGGCTTGTATTAATTCCTCAAGTAGATATACCCACTAGAGCTTGCTCAACTCCTTAAGTACTCCAATTTAATTCCAAAGTAATTTAATTTTTGTTGTATGTTTCGATTGTTGTAGTGTCCTTGAACTTAGACACTCTCCGGGCACAGTTGTGACAAGTCACAAATAACTACAAGTGTTTTAGCAAGTTCTAAACGATTGCGGTCGTCGAACTGTGGATATAGTAGGAAGTATTAAAAATATGGCATCAAGGTTTTGCCACTTTCACAATTGCCAAGATTGCATGTAATAAAACCACACGAAATACTGTTAAGCAGGTTTCAGAAAAATATATATTCGAAAAAACAAAAAAAAAAACTAAATGTAAAACCCAGCAATGAGACAGTGAAGGGATTTCAGTTATTCGAAAGGGCGCTCGCGCGCAAAACGCAACGGAATATGTTGTGCTGTGTAGCCAAGGTTAACATCCTTTAAATTGCAATATCTGTACGTAGGTACATATATATAAATGTAGAATGATTAACTCAAAAGCAGTCAGATAAATGCCTACAACAAACATGCCATATAATACGTGCGTTTTCGTATTTGTGTGCGTAGAAGTGCAGCGATTAGCCGGCTGAGGCGCTGTGCCAATAGCAGAATGAGAGAAAATCAGCGCGACAAACATTACACAAAAAATATGTAAATGAATTAAAATAAGATATATGGAAACCGCAAATAAGACGAGATTTTAAAACAGGACAGTTTGATAAGAAATTGTAAAAAAAAATTGAGTCAAAAAATGTTGAGCAAAAACGCGGCAAAAAATGTACTGAAATCACTTTGCAATGTTGCTTCGAAATAACAGTATTTTTATACCCTGAATAAAGTGTATTAAGTTTGGCAGGAAGTTTGTAACACCCAGAAGGAAGTGTCGGAGACTTTATAAAAAATATATGGTACATATATAATTGATCAGCATGGCGAGCTAAGTCGATTTAGCCGTCGGTCTGTATACGAGTATGCGCTAAGTAGTCACTTAGTTTGAGATATATCTATCTGAAAGTTTGCACACATACTTTTCTCATACCAACGGACCGATCAAAATCAAGTTGGCATATGGAAAACTTTTGTATTTGATAGGGTATCTTCAAGAAGTTTGGCGAAGATTATTGCTTAAGACAGCGTTAAGATATCCGAAGAAATTGTTCAGATCGGATGACTATAACATATAGCTGTTATACAAACTGACCGATCAAAAAAAAAACAAAAAAATTAAAAGCTTGTATACTCTTGTATGCTATAAGAAATGCACCTGTGAAGAGTATTATAGCTTCGGTGCAGCCCAGGGATGCAAATAATGCATTAAAAAAAAACAATTTAATTAACATTTGATATATTTTTTATTTTGTTATCACAAATACGCGATCAAAAACTAAAAAATATTTTAATTCCGAATTGAAAAAAATAAATAATATGTTTATCCCACATACCGGGTAACAAACAAAAAAAATTTAATCCCAAAAACCGTATTAACCATTTTTTTTTAATTTTTTAATTAATTTTTAATTTTTTATTAAAAATTTAATTTTAATATTATTTAAAACTAACATTTTTTCGAGTTCGTTCAAATCAAAAATTTTCAATTTTTAATCTCAAACATCTTGAATTAATAAACGAAAATTTAATTTTTTAATTCAGCATCGGGATTAAAAAATGAAAATCTATTTTTTAATCTCAATATCGGAATTAATATCTATTTAAGAAATTAAAATCTAATTTTTAATTCCAACATCGGGATTAAAAAATAAAAATAAAATTTTTTATATTATTTACTTAAAAACTCGCAACCCTGGTGCAGCCGAAGCTAGCGTTTTTTTGTTTTGACTTTATTTGGTATTTACTACAATTTATTTAATTTTTTTTTTTCAAATTTACGAAGTAGGAATTTTCTTACTTAAAACACGACGTATTTAAATGCATATATGGAAACACGATGTGGCAAATGCAAAATTTCGTAAAGTCGTAACGATTTCTATTTATTTTTTTAAATATTTTTTCAATTTTTTTTTGTTTTTAAATTTTTTTTCAATTTTTTTTTTGTTGCAATTTTTTTTGCATACCAAAGCAAATGATAACCTAAAAAACCCACCAACGCCTGTAGTGGCACGCAGAGGGCGACACATATTTTCTGCTGCAACAACACTGAAGAGCCAGTGTTGCTATGGTCATAGTGACCGCGTTTGATGCACATTCGTTGGCAATTGCAAGCTCATGCTGTTTGCACTCGGCAACTGATGACAGCTTTCTGGCTTTCTACGAACACCACAGCAACTGACAAAAGTGGCAAAAGAAGAAAAACAGAAAACAAATTTTATTCATTCGATATTTGTTGTGTCGCTCAAAATCAATTGATATTCACTTTAAATACGTATTTATTTAAATTTGCATTCCTTAAACTCATACTTTTTGTTACTTTGTTTAATTTTAATCTCTTTGTTTTTGTATTTATTGAATTTTGTGATTCAAGTAAATGCCGCAAATCAGAGTTTTTCACAAAGACAGAGATAAAGACAAACGGCCTAAATGTGGCACAAAAACAACTACTTTAACCACCTAACTGCATGCATGTGTGTACTTGTATATAGCAAATAAATTTAGTGAAAAATAAAATACATAAACACCTATAAACACACACAATCTGTGGGTGAGTGAAAATATCATCGATAAGTTGCAATAATAATAATAACAATAAACCCGAAAAAAGCGCGTTCAAGTTGAAAAAACCAGTTCGTCAGCGCGCAGCAGGCAGCAAGCCGCAGCAAAAGCCAAAATAATAATAACAAACACATATACTATACTCGTATAGATAAAAATAAAAACAACATTGAAACAAATTTTTTTGCAACGTTGCCATATAAATATACAGAGGCAGGCAGGCAGTCGAGTTCTTCACGATTTTCTCGACGCTTGTTGTTATCATTGTATCCGCCGCAGCAATAACAGACGGATCAACGGGCAACGTCGCCAAATACGGCACAAGACACAAGGCAGAAGGCAAAACAATGCGTTTCACTTACAATCAGTATAATTATTCCGAATCCGGTTATCGGATTCCATCCAAGATGCACAACAGTAATACGGGTAACGGCTCATTGGCGGCCGCACATCAGCATCATTACAGAAGTAATTTTGGTAAGCTGCAATGCTACTACATATATTCTTTATATTTAAAAGCAAATATGGTACATAAATGTACATATGTATGTGTATCTGTAAGTTAATTATTTAAATTATTTTATTTTTAATATTGATTTTTCAAAATTTTTTGCTAGCTCGTTGAAAACTTGAAACAGTTTTCGGAACTCTTTTCAATACTACTTATACATATTTCATTTAAGCACAAAGTAAAAATTTCCAAATATACCTTTCTATTTCAATATAAGGCCCGCTCATTTGCAAGCAAGCAGCAAAAGAACACACGCTAAAATAAGAAAATGAATATAATTGATGTTTCCACTTGGTGATTTAAATCATTCTGCGAATTTTGTTAAAAAAATAGTATATAAACAATCTGAGTCAAAAGGTCTCAAAATTTCAAAATAAATACAAAAAAATAAACTAAGTGTATTATTGTCTTCTGAACAGATTATTGCAGTATACTTTTAGGGAAACTGAATCAAACTTCTTTTGTCACTCGCTTATAAAAAAAAAAAAAACTATTCAAATTCCTGATAAACGGTAACCTTTGTACTGATGAGCTATACTTGAAGTCAATTCATTGTAATGGTTCCGAGTAATGGATGCAAATACTAGTAGACAATAAATTATTACTTTTCATACATATTCTATAGTGGTGAAATAATTTTTATACAATATATAATGTAATACCTATAAAATTGGCAGACTGATTGATTGTTAGTTTGAGTTGTCATTTGAGAACTTTTTTTCTTGATTTTAGAAATTTTTTTCTGAAAAAAATAGAAAAAAATGAGATTTGTCACTTTTTAATATTTTGCTCAAAATCTGAAATCTCTATATTTTCATACGATGCTAGTTAAGTATTTAGGCTTGACAATTAAGCGTCGTCGGTTTTATATTCTGTTGAGCCAATTAGTTAAAATGCTGAACGAGGCAATTTTTCTCTGGGCGATTCTTCTTTCAAAATGGTGTTTGAAATGAAAGCTATTCTTGAAATAATAATAAATGTTATACATATAATAGATACTGGAAATACCTTACACTTCACTGCTCGGAAAAAGCCGAAAAAGTTCTTTAAAAAACGGTCATCATGTGTAAAACGTCTTTGATAAAATAAGTCATCAGAAGTTGCAATCACTGTGAGAAATACCTAGTAGCCTGATTCCAAATCATTCACCAAGCTCATTAATGTTTTTCAATTGTTTGGCAAAGTGGTGTCTAACAATACTGCTTTTAAGGGTGATTGCCCTTTGATTCTTGATTCTTATTAATCTGATAGTGGTTTCTATAGCATTCAGTTTTGCGCAAATTGGAATGGGTTTAACAAAAACTCAGCGTGACACCCCTTAAGGGGTTATATCCACTTGCAAGTCCGAAAAAACAATTTTTTTGTGAATTTTTGAAGAGGAATTTTATTTGATAAATAAATTAATAAAAATATACATTTACGTAATTTAATGTACTTTAATAATCGGCGATTTATTTCTAAACATTTTGGATTCACTTATTCCCATATGTGTATGACGGTGATTAATTTTATTGTCTCAAATCCAAATAAAATATTACGAAAAATGATTACAGATAATGATAGAAGACTAGTCAAAATTTGAATTTTTGATAAAATTACGACTGCCAAAAAAAATTATTTTTTTGTACTAAAATATACACTTTAGGATGGCTTGAAAATCGAAATTATTAAGAAAAATCTTATTCTTTGATCATTACCTGACAAATGTGGTACATATATCGATAAAGGTCGCATGAAAATTTCAAGTCTATCGGTCCAGCCGTTTCGGCGAAGTTTTCCTCACCGATTTTGAAAACAGCGTTTCTATAAAAAGTTCTTACAAATACGCTCATATCTCCGAAACAATTTGTCGGCTCAATTTAAAATTTTCCGAGAATATTTTCATATTCCGGAAATTCACAAGTGAACAAACTTATTACTATTTATTTCAATATTTTTTTATATATAATTTCTACTCTTCAAACAGTGTGGTTTCGTACATACAAAGCTATCTTCGAAGCAAAAGAAGCAGCGACTCTGCTTCCATGTATAATTATAGCGAAAAGGTGCTTAAGTGAAATTTAAGCACAACGCAGACTAAACTAACAGCAAAATATAGTTTTACGCAAACAAATATGTTTCAATTTATTTTTATAGCAAATTAAATGTGAGCGCTTTGTAATGTGACACGAACGTTTGAGAGTTAGAGTGCTGAAGCTACTACACGAATGTGACTAACGGCTAATAAACGCAAAGAATGCGCAAATTCATGCATAAGAGGTGTACTTAAACACCTTATAATTTATTTCCTCAAAATTCTAATAATAAGTGATGAGCTTAAGTATGGTACATATGTATAGATAATGGTGTAAAATGCTATTTTTGGGCTAAAGCTAAGCAAAACGCGCAAGCGTGTCATAGAAGAAGAAGCATTAATTTGTGAGTTTTTGGTTTTTTTTTTTTTTGACACGTAAATACTTATGTTTGCTGAAAGAATTTTATTTATTTTTTAACACACAGTGGACTCAACACGCCGTTGATCTTGCGTGAATTTGTCAAGCCACTAATTCGCACTCTTGGTTTGGCGTTTATCAGAAGTACATATATATATGTTAGCTATGTACATACTTATGTCTGGAATACTTGTTTATTTATACATCATATAGCATAATTGAAACTACACACGCTGTGTTTAACTAAGTCGACTAATGGTTGTCTGTATATATGTTTGTGTGTGTGTGTGTGTGTGCATGATTTTTGTTAAAACTTTCAGAAGCGCCCATTTAGTAGCGTTCCAAAGCATAGCAAACGTACCGTGTTATCTGTGCAATTTTCACATTTCATTCAATTGATGACCGTTTTTATGTTTTACTCCGCGCGTTTTTTCTCTTTTACGCAGCGGAAGAGAGCATTTAAGAGAGCGCCTAGTGTGATAAGTGTGTTAAGTGCGCCGAAAAGCTTAGAAATGTTTGCTACCTTGTCAATTATGCTTCATTTTTTTTTTTTTTTGTTTTTGGTGTCACGGCATTGCTCTCGTGAAAGCGGCGCTTTTTCGCTCGTTTTATTTTGTTTTTGTTTAATAATAATTTTGTTTGTTTATACTTTTTTATTTCTCTTTGCAATTTGCTTATATGAAGCGTAAAAAAAATTGTAGCAGTACGATCGAATGTACTCGTATTTTGGCGTTACGGTGTCATTTTGTATTTTTTTTTTCATTGCGCGATTTTGTAATTTAATATATTCTCGTGATAGTTTGAGAATACATAGAAGATAACAAGTTGTGAAATTCGCAGTTAACTGAAGGTTTCTACGCCTAAAACGTTAACCTGCAAAAAAAAAAAAAAAAACAACAACAACTAGTAAAAACTATATGGTATTATAATTGGATGCCACACGCCCATAAATATCACATGGTTAATTAGCCGTAATATCTACACTTGCTGATTTTTATATACAATAAAATAATTCTAAGATACACACTTACGTATATATATAACATCCATACAATACATACATACATATGTACATATGCACATAAGTTGCGTAAACTTCTTTTCGCCATCTCAAACTATTTAATTAACCACACGATATTTAAGTTGGTTTAATTACGTGCGCTCTATGCTTGAATGGACGAGCCTTCTCGTAATATACTACTTCAATCTTCTCGTAATATACTACTTCAATGCAGCTGACTTAGATCAAGTTAGCAACAGGCGTTTTGCAGCCTTAAGAAAAATAATTCAATAAACGTGCACTACTACGGTTCCAATGTGATCCCAAATAAGGTTGCCTACTTTTCAATAAAAATCTTAAGTTACTTACTTTATTCTTAAAAATAAATTAAAAGTGGAATTTGATATACTTTCTAGTTTTTAATAGAGTTCTTTTGATAAAAAATCCACATATTTCATTAGGAAAAAAATCGACTGCTCATGTTCTCCCCTAAAGAAGTTTGGCTTTTCAAACTTGTGCTGCAAAGTGGTGTATAATTTGCTGCTATAGTTGTTGTAGAGCTTCGATTGCATTTTTGAAACCAAACGAAGTGATTTTCGAAAGTTTTGATGAACGAGTTTACTTGAAATTTTTTGTTTCCAACGGAATCACGGGGTGCGTCTACTTTATCACGAACACAAGTATGCGAGTGACACAAGCATTCAGTAAAGTCGTGAACTCATCGAAAACTTGAAAAATCCAAAGAAAAAATGCTGAAAAATCTTCGTATTGGCAGGAGGAAGATAGCAAAGGATCTCAACAACGCTTATGAATCGACTCAATACATTTTGGTTAAGGTTTTGAGTATAAACCGTGTCAACTCTAGACTCGTAGTCTGATTGTGGCTGCCTTTTTGGCCAAACACGAAACGAGAGTCTTCGCTTAGCTACCGTATTCTCCCCAATAATTTACGTTGCCTCAAATCGTAAAATTTTTGGAAGCAAACAGCAAACTGAACTGAAAATGCCAGTGAAACGCTTAAAACCGAATGGTTCAAAAAATTATTTTACAACATTAAAAAACAGTTTTTTTTTTTTTTCCTAACTCGAACAACCGTAACCTTCTTTAGCTTAGCTAAAAGCTTTTTTTTTTAGAATTTTCTAATTTGATATTTCAATTTTTAACTTAGCGCATTGTTAGCCGAGCAGTCCGAAATAAACTGTATTTCCATTATGGCTGCGAAATCAGAAATGCAAAAATTTATGAAAACAACAGTTAAGTAATTATTTACGGCGAGCTACAACAATTTTATTTTGCTTTAAGTTATCAGTGTGAGGATATTGATTTTGTGATCTTTAGCAGTTACCGATAGTACTGTTATAGAATTGAAATCAAACTATCATCTCACTCTACCTGTTAATTTTTCAAAAAAATCGCTTTGACTATTTACAGTTAACTTTAAAAAGTTTCTCACACGCTACTCTATTTGTCAAACATTACCGTAAAATAGTGCCAACTAAGCAAACACTATTATTTATCTCCATAAGCATCCGCT